TCTGAGGCACCAAAAAAGCCAGAAGTTGGAGGCTATGAAGCAAAATCTGAGGGAGGTAGTGGTTATGGAGGAGGAACAGTAAAGGGTGATAAGAATACGGAACATTTATAGAAATAATTTCAAATATTTAGCAGCATCTGAAACCAGTTCAGATAGTCTTGGAGAACAATCAACGTCAAGTCGACGTTTATCTGCATATAATAAACTTGTTCATGCAGCACTTAGAAGACGCCATCTTCGTTAATTATTAATACTTATAATAAACAATTTCTTAAATAATTAAAACACGAAAATATCCTAGTGCATAAAAGTAATATAAAAACGGATTTACAAAATTTGCCGAGCCGATCGGCAAGGTTATGAGATTTCCTAGGTCTGGACCCAGCGCTTAGCTAAAAATTACCAAGACTTTTATATGAATGATTAGGGACAGCCAAAATATGTCGGAAAATTGCCAAATATGCGCATATTTATGCACCGAAAAAGACAAAATATGCAACAAAATATGCAAAATTTGCCAAAATATGCACTGAAATATGCACCAAAAAATAGTTAAAATATGCTTTAAAATCAATATTTTAATTTAAAAACACTAAAACCTTTAATTTTACATTTTAAGAGCACTTCTAAAAGATTTAGTGGATTTAAAATTTCTGCAAAAATTTTTTGTAAAAAATTTTTCCCAAAAAATTCTTCGAAAATAATTTTTATAAAAAATTTCTAAAAAAAATTTCAAAATTTTGGTCAATTTTTGGCAAAATTTTACAAAAAATGCCAAAATATGGACCAAAATATGCAAATTCTGCCAAAATATGCACAAATATGCACGAAATTGTCGAAATATGCAAATATATGCATTAAAAACCGGGTCCTAAAGTACCATTTTTGTGCTTTCCACTTCAAGGCATATCCGCATACAAAACATGCATTTGCATGTTTTGGCTGTCCATATTAATGATTGTTGTTGTTGTCTGTAGCAGTTTTCCAGTTTGGCATTTTTACTACTGTAACTATAACAGACAAAGTCAAAATTTGTCTAGTGATATTCACGTGAATATGTCTATTTATTGTTGCACTTTTTATATATTTTTGTATTCAATATTACACTTAAATATTAAAGAGATGCCGCCTAATTGCTTTGGCTATTAATAAAATATAGACATGCCAGATTTATATTTTTAAATGTTTATTTGTCTAATACTTTTTGATTTTTCTCTTTTTTATTTAATAATAATAAATTATTATCCTACTTAAAGAGATCCCTCATATGTACATACATAGGTTTCTTAAAAGTGCTTACGGATTTGCTTTGTATGTTACATTTAGGGCAACAAAGAATTTTAGCGTTTCTTAGTCAGAAAACGAGTTAAGAGTACCTTACAAAATTAATTCTTAGTCCTCTTACGATGTTAATACACAAATAAACACTGCGTTGAGGGTTACCCCTTATACAAAAAATCGACACCTAACTCGACAGTATACAACAATGGTTTAACTAACCCACAACTTTTTTTAGTTCATAAAAATCAGATTCAAATTATTTTTATTCGATTAAAAAATTTTTAGGAAAATATTTTAATGAATCGTTGTCGATTAAAGACAATAATTTTCACATTAATTTTACTACCTCTAGCTCAAGCGTCAGACCCTTGTGAAGACCCATGTGTTGATAACCACCATCTCAAGGAGGAATGTAGAGGATGTAAGTTGAATATCATGAATTCGTTGAGAATTTAAAAATTTTCATATTAAATAATAAAATTCCAAACTTGGCATTGGCAAATTTTGTACAGTTTATGATTAGAAATAATATCTAAACGATACTGAACATGAAATTAAACAAATAACGGTACATTAGTAACTACATACATAGTATTTCAATCTCTCGCTAGAAGAGATTAATATTGAGAGGTCCAATTATTCGATTTAAACGTTCAGTAAGTCATCATGGGAGGGAAATTATTGTTTCAAGGGTGGTGAGGTAATTAATTGAGAAGGAATAATTATTCGAAAGGATCTTTTAAAAAAGGTTTATATTACAGCATCGATAGAGCAAAAAAGTACACTAGAATCTGTTGACTATATCTATTACGTATATATATTTTTAGTGTATGATGATGCCAAACAATCTACTAAACACTTTTATAAAATTTTCTATGGATCCAACGAAGAAGATTACATGCGGAATCATTTGGCCATAGACATTATTCTGTGGCATCAATATATGGAAGCAAATATGAAATCCGTTAAAGATTGGAGTGCAAATATTACTACAAAAAAGATGAGGATTTGGACTTTAGAAACCTGGAAAATAGCGAAAGAGCAAATAGATATACCTTACTGTTATGCATTTGATAAGGACAAGTCTTTACCTTCATTAAAGAGAGTACACACGAATTTCCCAGTCTTTTATTTGAACATGTTGCGGACAATTGAATTAAAAAAACGGTCAAAGAAATCTAAAAATCTAGAACAAAGTTCATATATAATGGATTTACAGGTATGTTACAGGGATGTTGGCAACATAAAGATAACTCCAATATTTCGTGAATCATTAATTTCCTATTTGATTTTAAATCTGAAATTACTGATCCGAGTTGATTTTTTACGAGTTAATTTTTTCCGAGTTAATTTTAATTCATGGTATATGATGATGGATCATTACTAATGATCCATCATCATATATGATTCATTAGATGCATCTCGTTGATGCCAGAAATAGATATGACATGTGGTATTGCTTAGATAAAAAACAAATGGTATATTACGAATTATGGCACTATAATTTTGAGGAAAATTGAAAGGGGGAAGTTTTCGGGTATTCGGAACCGAAAACCGAGCCAAAAATTTTCGGATATCCGAAGTTTTTTTGCTTTCGGATAGTCGGAAACGCCAAACTTAGTCAGTTCTCTAATTATAACTTTGATTTATTATCGGGTTTACAAATTTAACTTGGACTAGTAACTGTACTTAATAGTGTTATTTAATTATTATTTTTAGTTTGAATGGAAAGATATTTTTGATGATCTAGACAAAAGAATTTTTGACTTAGATAACCTTGCTGGATTTATAAATGCTTTGAAAGAAGATAAATATAATTATTTTATGAAATTGTTTATAAACGGTGACTTGGATATGAAGTTCCGTACAAGATTTACCCAAGGTAATTTTTCTTATCTATTTACAGCATAAATTTTTAAAAAAATAAAATTTTATTAGAATTTATTGACAAAGTCAACAGGATAATAAAGCATCACATGCTGGGTCCGGTACGGGTTTTCTAACCCTTTAGTCTGGAGCTGTGTATTATAATAATATCAGATATTTTTTTAATATCTGGTAATCGAATAAAATTCGTTTTACTTATTCGTCGACTTCACTCCATTTGCCTCTGGATTCGCTCTATTAACTAAATTCTATAAGATGGGATTTAACAATAATTTCTAAAAACTAGTTAACATTTTGTTAAAATAAATTCGAAATATTTCTAAATAGTTTTTTATACTAGAGTTGGGCGGGATCGGGATCCCGACGTAAAATCGGGATCGGGATTTTGGAATAATGATCCCGATCCCGGTCCCGATCCCGACTGCGGGATCGGGATTGGACGAAATCGGGATCGGGATTCGGAATAATGATCCCGATCCCGGTCCCGATCCCGACTCGGGATCGGGATTGAAAAATCGGGATCGGGATTTAGTTTAAAAAAATTTTCAAAATTTAAATTTTTATTTACATTGCATATACCTCAATATAATTCCATAATTTTCATCTGCTGTGCTGAAATATTGATTTTAAGTCCCAGCGCGCATTTGTTCTTGGCGTATCAGGGATTAAGGAGGAGGGATAAAGTATTAATGATAAGGTGATTCTGATGGATTAAGAGGGATATCGTTGATTAATGAGATATTGGGATCTAGATGGACATCTAGGATATCCATTATATCCGTTCAAATCCATTCCGTCGATAGTTTTATAAATGAGTCTCTTCTTATTCACCGCCAGAGGCAAAAATTTTGAAAAATTTCGAAGATTCTCAAGCCAAAATCTTCATTTTTAGCGCCGCAGGCGAAAATTTTGAAAATTTTGGATGGCGTAGAAGCCAAATTGCTTTCTTTTCAGCTCATTAATTTATATTTTCATTAATTTATAAAATCCCGATTTCATCGGGATCCGATTGCTAATCCCGATCCCGGTCCCGATCCCGGCTCGGGATCGGGATCGGCCAAAACCGGGATCGGGATTTGTCTTTCGGGTTCGGGATCAGAAAAATCGGGATCGGGATTCAAAAAAACCGGGATAATCCCGCCCGATCCCGACCGGGATCCCGATCCCGCCCAACTCTATTTTATACTAGGTATTTATTGTATTTTTATTAAATTATTTTTTAAATTTAAAGATTTTCAAACTAATGACAGAAGTTTATTTTTTAAATTTATCGATGTATTTGGAATAGGTTCAATAGAAAAATTTAATTATTACATAATTATAACAGAATTTGAAAATAAAGACGATAAAAATCCTAATAACAGAAGCAAAGCTGTGAAAGAGAAGAAAAGGAAAGGTTAAGAATTTTCTAAGCCAGATTTTTTTTATCGAGATTCTATTAATAATATAACAATTTCATACCTAATAAATCTATGTTAGGATTTTTAAAAAATTTATCGATAATAACAAAATTTAAAACCCAGTGGTCGCCGAAAAAGTATAACCTAACATGAGTTTTATTTTATTGAAAATCGTGGGTTTATATGCCATGAAAGTCTAATCATACAACCCCCTTTTAAGCCTCTCAAATCCCTCGTTATCTTCCAGATTCTCCTAATTTCACTATATCACTCTTTTGAAATTTGCTCATCGGAAAATAAAATGTCACCCTTTATCTGAATCCCATGGGTTTATATATCCTAGTTTAATATACCCAAAAAATTTTGTATTTGGATTTTAAGAAAAATCGAGATTTGACTTAGTCTAAAAAATCTTGGTAATTTTACAGATTTAATGAATTATGTAAAATATATTGCAAATAGAATAAACTCTATAGGTGAAGCTAACGAGGAAATAGATAATAACGATCAAACAAAAAATGAAACGGATGATAGAAAAAATAATGGGCTTTCCAAGAAACAAAGGAAAAGGCGTAATAAGAAAGCTAAGAAATCAAATAAAAACAATATTGAGGAAGATAAACATAATGAAGAAAGCGATGTTGGGAATGGGGATAAGGATTTAAATGAAGAAATAATTGTGGAAGATAATAATGAGTTGGACGAGGAAAATGAAGAGAATGAGGGCGATGAAGAAGAAGATAATGGTTGGAAATTTAATAAAGAAGATGAACTGAAAAGGAGAAATGAAGAGAAGAAGAAAATTAGAGATGAAGAAAGATCGAGTAAATTAAAAATAAAAGAGGATGGAGATATTAAATCATTACTAGCTTTGAATAATAGTAAGAAGATGGATTTAAAATATTATTTAAATAATACGAATATAAAAATTAAAAATGAAAATGTTGAAGATTTGGAAGATTTAGAAGATGAATTGGAAGAAGGAAAAAATGGAAAATTGAGAGAAGGAAACGAAAATCTGGAGGAAGAAAAGAATGAAGATTTGGAAAAAGAATTAAGATGAAAAGATTGAAGATTCGGAAAATAATAAAGAATTAAATGAGGCTAACAAGGATTTACTGAGTGCGAATGCCAAGAAATTATTTAAAAATCTGAATAAGGATGAAGAGAAACATGATATAATTAATAAAAAAGTCAAAAATATTTTGAAAAATGAGGAAGAAGACGATAAAAATCTTGCTCAATTTACTGAAGGAATTTCAAAAGAAAATCATAAAAACTTCAAAACATTTCCAAAATTTACAACTTTTCATCCAAAAATGTTTCTAAAAGAAAAACTATTATTCGAAGCATATGAAAGATTTATTGAAGCTAAAGGCGATCCAAAGAAAATAATTCCAGCATTGGAAATTGGAGTGGTTATCGATGAAATTAAACAGCGTTTTGATTATTTTAAGAGATTCAAACAATATAAGAATGATACTGAATTAGATTGTGAAGAAAATGCAAATTCAACAGGAATTTCATTCGGGAGTTTAGAAGGTAAGGCTTTCATTGTTATCTGACTCCATATTCCTTTTCTCTTTCCGTCTTTTCTCGAAAAATTTAAGAATGAGATAATGGCCAAAGAGATAATAACTTGTGCACTTATGAAAGACACCACAAGTCTATACTGAATAGAAAGAGTCTGTTGAAAAGCCTAAGTTACTACTGAGTGTCAAAGACCAAAAATTTTTTAAGACTTGGCCACAAGACGACTCCAAAACTTAAACCCAAAAAAATTGTGACATTTGTTTGGTCACTAGGACAAATTTTTGGATTATTCACGAGCACCTAAGGTTGCGATCATAAAAAATTTCCTTTCCTAAATAATAATAATCTAAAAAATTCCAGTGAAAATTAATAAACAAAATATTCAAAAATGTCAAAATGAATATTCATTAGAACAACATTTTATTAAATTATTAGAAGAAAACGATAATTTCGTCGATGATTCAGAAAAATGTGAAGTTTTAAAGAATAAATTGCATTTATTATTGAAGGAATTGTTTTTATTATTGGATGGTTATGATTTGAAAATTATAAAAAATAAAATAAAAATTGATTATAATATTGAAATTGATGTAGTTAGAAGCAAATTACACAAGAAAAGGTTTACTAATAATTTAGTTTAAAATATTCGTACTAGGATTTTTCATACACATGTATCAGTTGTGCTTTAAATACAGAGATAATCTCAAAAAAGTATTCTCAAATAAGTACTGCTGATAAATATTTATTGTTTCCAACTTGTGGTAATTAATCAAGGAAAGTTAATTATTCGGGGATTGAGACAGAGTTTTTCACTGATAGAGGGGGTAATGTAGAGGTTGGGGGTTATTGTATAAGAGAATGAAATTATTCGATCAAATACAGTAATGCACAATAATTTTTATAGATGTGCCCCAAAAACTCGGGGGCGGGATTATCGGGGTATGATGTTTAGAAATATTTCTGTGCGGGGTTCTGGTAAGCAAAATATGGTCGTGGTACGAGTAAGAGGAATGGGGAACGGGGTGAACATCTAATAATTTTTGATAAACAAAAATATTCCTCAAAAAATTTTTTTAATGTAAAGGCTTGCTTTATTAATTACAAAAAGTCGGTGGGATCAAATGAAACAAAAACAACAAAAAAGGATTTTATTTTCATTGCTTTCAAAAAATTTTGTTGAATCAACATTTATCCAGCAATATGAAATAAAAGAAAGGCAGCTTAAACTGATAGGTGTGTAAATAAATAAATATAGAAAAATATAATAATAATATTTTAGAATCAAATAAGCAAATAAATAATATAAAGGAATTGCCAATATTTGAAGAATTACCTTATTTTTATGTTCAAAAGAGGTATTCACTAAACGCTGTAAGCTAGTAAATTATTAAAAATAGTTTTTAAATTCTTCCTGGGGGAGGGGGAGGAACAAGAGAATCAGACTTGCTAGCTACCCTTACATTAAAATTTAAGTGATATATTACCGGTTTAAAAACCACCCGTAGTATAACAACTTTGATTCTAAGAATCTTTTTCGGAGAATCCCATCAATTTTTTGAAATGTAAAGAGATCGAACAAACCCAGAAAATAGTAAAAGATTGAATGGGACTTGATCATACTAAGAGCCCTCTGATGCAAGGTAGTTAAGTTTCTTAACCACCCCTTCAATCGTTTCTTTTTACAATGTTCTACACTATTTTTAGGATTAGGCAATTTCGAAAGCTTGTTTTCTTTATAAAAATATTTTAATTCTATTTTTAAAGATTATTAACCAAATAAATTCTTCATCTATTGTTACTAATAATTATATTAATTCTGATATTAATTATGTTGTTAGAACCGTTAAAAGATGGGCAAGCTTATCTAAATGTTATTATATAGAATTTTTATTGACCGGATCACAATTATTAAAGACGGATATTTCTGATTCTGATGTTGATGCAATTGTTGTTTTAACCAAAAAAGAGAATGATGGTTGTGGAATTAATAAATTAATCCAATTTTATGGAAGTCCAAATAATGATCTATGTAAATATACTTTTGGTAAAGTAGAATGTAATGATAATTCTTTGTATTGTTATTTGTGCAAAGTAATATTTTTAAAGACCGAACTTATGAGAGTTTTTTATGAGAATTTTTAGAAATATTTGGAAAAATTTCGAATCTTAAAAAATCGTGAAACATAAAATTTCTGCCCATAGAGAGTCATTTAGATTACGAGATATCTCGAAAGATTTCAACTCGATAACCGAGATTTTTTTTGAAATTGGAAGGATGATTCACCTAACAATAAGAATTTAAAACGCTTAAGCGTGGGTAAACGATCTAAAACGATAAATAAAAAAGAAAGCATTAGTCTATGCACCTGTAGCTCTGAGGTAGAGCACCTCAATTTGTGTAAGCAGGTTCTCATACATATCTCAATTCTAATAAGACCTCCCTGCCCAGTTTCAACGATATTTCATTTTTAAATCACTTTTTATTTAAATTTATTAATAAAATTTAGAACTATAAAATTCACAATCTTTACAAAAATGTTCACACCCGAAACAGAATAATAGAATTTTCTTTAAACAAAACTCAATTTGACATTTCATTTGTAATAATTGAGCAAAAAACGGATCAAAATTTAGTTCCAATAATTAATTTAAATAAAAATCAAGTTGAGGAAATAATTGAAGGATTTGCCCAAAAATTAGAAATATTAAATATAAACAAAGGATTACCAGAAAATAGAGAAAAAATTAAAGAAATTAGTTCCCAAATTTATTCTTTAGCTTCTTATAATTCTAATAAAATAATGCAACAAATGATTAATGTAAATGATAATATGAGTAAATTTCAATTTATCACAAAAACATTGAAGAGATGGGCGAAAAGTAAAATTTGTTAGAGAATTAATTTATATTTAAATAATGTATTCAATAATAATTTAACCCGGTTTCCGGACTACCGGGCACGGAAAAGCCTGTCCCGGCCCGGGTTCGAACTCTAATAATAATTTTATTTATTATATTGGATCCTCATATTCGGATATTTTCGGCTTTGAAAAAATATGCGGATATACCTTTCTAGGTATTCTCACAGATAAAAATAATCAAATCTATTAGATAAAATTGCACTATTATTTTAAATATTTTAAATATTTAGATCATTTCATATATAATGGACAATTTTTTTCTTTAATGGAGCAACATTGAACGTGCTTGTTATTAAACTTGTATTGCTTTATTTTGATTCCACCATAATTTATTTATTAGAAAAATTTTTTCAAACTTACAGTGAATGGTCTTTAAATTAATTTTGACTCAATATAAAATTAATTTTAGGGATTGGGATTATCAAGTTAAACTTGACGAATTAACCCAAAATTCAATTAGTTGGACAGTTGAAGACGAAATTAAGGCTAAAAATGATTTTTTGTTGAAATATGTTGCTAGATCAGAAGAGGAAAAGATTTATTTACAAAGGCATTTCAATCTCTTAATGGTAGTGTTAATGCCTGGATATCCAGAACAAAATTGTGCTTTTAATGTAAATTATTCGACCAAACAAATTATTCAAAGAGAGCTTAATGAAGGTTTTAAATTATATTTTTTGTATCTATTACTTTGATAATTTGGATAACTTGGTTATACCAGTAGTGTGTACGACGTGAATGGGCGTCCCGCATTTTTAAAATTAGAAAAAAAACGAAATTATATGCGAATCTTTGGATATCTCCCTGGGATACCTTACTGAGAAACGCTTGAATACCGTAATCCGGTATATGTATGATACGAAATTTTCGGATAATCGAATCAGTATCGAAATTTTCCTATAAGTTTTTTGGGTGCCGGAATTTTGGTCACCGGAATTTTGGTCACCAAGGATTTTCGGAACTTTGGTCACCAACTTTTTTGGAATTTTGGTCACCAGCGGAATTTTGGTCACCAGGTCAAAAAACGGAATATTGGACACTGAAATTTTGGTCACCAATAGGAATTTTGGTCACCAAACGGAAAAAAATAATCTTGTCTAAAACTGAAATCAAAGTGATAAAATATGATTTTTCAACCCCCAGTTGATCAATTTCAATGTTGATCACTCTCATGGCTGATCACTCCCTCAGTTGATCACTCTCGATCACTCTTCCGGATGATTAATTAACTGTGAGTGTGAACAACATTGAAATTGATCAACTGGGGGTTGAAAAATCATATTTTATCACTTTGATATCAGTTTTAGATAATATTATTTTTTTCCGTTTGGTGACCAAAATTCCTATTGGTGACCAAAATTTCAGTGTCCAATATTCCGTTTTTTGACTTGGTGACCAAAATTCCGCTGGTGACCAAAATTCCAAAAAAGTTGGTGACCAAAGTTCCGAAAATCCTTGGTGACCAAAATTCCGATGACCAAAATTCCGATGACCAAAATTCCGTACACCAAGTTTTTTAGCCTTAAAAAGTTCGACGAAAAGAGATACGGAGAGAGTGAAATTTTCTGTGACTTTAAGACATACCTTAAGACTTTAAAGCTGTCTTACATCGAGGACTTTATGACATTTATAGAAAATATC